AAGAGTGTGAAAGAGAAGCACAGCAAAGAACATCCTGTTCTAAAGCAATATTATCAGATATCTTTGAGAGATTCATTGTGCATCTGGAGTCCTTTCAAATGAAAGATTACTTGACAAGAAGAAGTGCTCATAAAAATGATCCTAAATGGAGATTTGCAATTAATCACACATGCTCTCCACTAAACCTCCTAAAAAGCCATCTACAGAATTTGATTTCCCCCCCCCCTTAATATTCATACAGGCAATAATGATTTTTTTTTTTTTTATGTGGCACTTACCCATGTGCCACAGTTGCTCCTGCAATAAAGTGATTTATGGAGGTAGATTTTCAAATGTCATATCAAATGGCTCAGGTGCATTGGCAATCTAAATTAAAATATAAGTTACATTATAATATCTATGTAGCTTGTAAATAAAGGAGAAAATACCAGTCATCTAATGATGACAGACAGGCCAGGTTTTCTTTTTGGTAAAGAGGAAACACAGCGCCCTTCTCCTGTCTTCCACTTTCATAAACTTTGTATCAATTCACGTAAGTTTGAACTGAGAACCATATAATAACTATAACAGGCAGAAGTCTCGACATTTTATACAGAAAACTTCATGTACTCAGTTTCACTGCATGTAGATGCTCTGCGGCTAACGAAACAACATATTCTAGGAGGAAAAGAAAATGACAACATATTCTGAATTTCCTGGACCACCATAACATAAAAATAAACCACGGCAAAAATATCACAAGAGACCAAGCACTTCAAGACATGCGGTAACTGCTTCCTATCATGCCTCAGCAAGAGATAATGCAGTGTACAGTTGTTCCAAAACAGGGAGAGAGAGGCATATGGGAAGGAGAGGAAAGGACCCCCAAAAAATTAAATGGCATTTGGTAAGTCTTCTTTTTTCCTTGGAGTTATTTTACTTCCACCAAACTTTTACTGAAAGAGTGAGGGGTAACATTTGAATTGCTAAGGTTTATCTTAAAGCTGTACTTTGGAATTTAGACTTGTTTCTAGAAGTGCTTCAGCGCTGTCTTGGCACAAACTAAACTACTGCTTTTGCAAGGAGCTCAGTCCAAACAGGTGTTCTATGTTTAGAACTTTTAACAAAAGCTCTTCTGAGTATACACTACCACAGTCAATGTGCATCGCAAGAACCCTAGAGATGGAGAACACAACAGAGAGAACAATTTTGGCAGTGCTACTTTAACTCAATCGCAACTCAAAATAAGATTAATCAATCTTTTGCTTTAAATAAATAAATAACACAAAGTATAAATTCTCATTGCCAGTATAATCTTTATTTTTCATTTATGGAGAGGCAAATGGTTTTTAAAAATGCCTTTATCATCCCAAATTGGTAGAGAAAGATTCCAAATTGGTAGAGAAAGATTCTAAATTAAAATCAATTTGCTGCAACTGTGTTCCATGTATGTATCACTAAATGGGATCTGTCTCTGCATGGCACATGATACAGCATGATTGTAAAATATTACGGAGAAGTTATCAATGCACAAAAGCTAGGAATTCCTTTCTTGTCTTTACGCCTGTAGAAGTACAATGTTGTGTTTTGCACGCACTTGAGTGTGGTGTTTCTATACAGATTTGTAAAGAAAGAGGAAATTATTATATCTGTGAGTGTGAAAAGCAAACATATGGGGGGAAAGAAAGAAATCTCAGGAAAGAGGGGAAACAACAAAATCAACTACCCGCTGTAACAGTGGTGGTAGTGAAAATTTGTGTGTTTCCAATGTAAAAACAGCTTCCTTAAGTTGCACTCTCAGGTTTATACTCTGGTGCAGAGGTCTTATTGCCTGTCAATAATTTCACAGGATGGACAGCCCACACAGAATTAATTTTTACTAATTGCAGATTCCACCGTAAGTAATTGTTTCTATGTGTGTAGCTGTAAGCATGTGCGTATCTGTTACACAAAACACTTCCTACATAGATTCCTTTCTCTTTTGGAGAAGAAATAGCTCAACAGTACTCTTTTACAGCTTTGCTGCACTGCAGCTCACGTTTACTTGCTGAAAATATCCATATCTAAGTCAATCACACTTAGATGCCAAACAAAATATAAACAATAAAAAATGTGTCAGCCAAAAAGCTACAGGACTGTATCCAATCACTGAATAAGCCTTATCATTGTTTCCATCTTCATTCACAATTTATGAATACTTCAGTCCTTTTGAATTACAATGCCTTCTAATTGTGGAATAACTTAAATCTTATTTATTTATTCGCCGTGCAAC